ACGCATTTGCGGTATAAATAGTTATGTCCTCTTTATTTCACTCCAAGGTTTAATTAATATATAAATCAAATGCTTATAAAACTCACAAATGCTTGGGAAGATGTAAAATTTAATTAGTTTGCCCACACAACTCCATATGTCAACTGTTAGCTCAATTACTCTTCGCCATGAAATACTGACTGCACTTTCCCATATTAGTAATTTCCCTCTATCTCGGAGTCATGGTTAATCAACACCCTGAACTCAACACACACGCTCCTTTTAAATTAAATATTGAGCACAAGGAGCGAGAGCCTCCTTAATGAAATCACAGCTGGATTCTGCTCTGCGCTGAAACCCTCGTGCAGTATTGGAGCAAATTTTGGTCCCTGGGGTAGGGAGTTTGTCTTCCCCACCCCTGGCACGAGCACTCCCAAAGTCCCTTTCCCTTGAAAGCCATGGGACAAGGGGCGTGGGGATGTGAACAGGGATGGAGACAGGGGTAGGGATGGGGACAAGGATGTCACCAGGGCCAGCGGGAGCCCCAGCTCAAGGCATCTCTCGCTGGGAGGAGGACACCAGTCGCTGGATGTGCTATTGAAAAGGGTGTAGCAGCCAAGTGGGCATAAAGAAACATGGGGAGGGGAGTGCACTAAAGCACCCCAGTGCCTTCAGGAGAGCTCCATGGGTATAAAGATACTTGGGAAATAATATATATATATATAAATATACACTTTAAATTAAGCCCTTCTTCACATTTATGCTGTATCCAATATATTTTTGCCATTTTTGCTGTGAATAAGAACTGCTCATTTTGCCTCAAACTATTTCCTTATCAATTGGGCTTTCAGGAGCTGGTGCACGAGCTGCCTACCCTGCACATGGCCCGGAGAGCACAGCACTGTGCACTGCACCAAGATGCCCAATTCTGACACCCGGGGGACAGACTAATGCCCTCCTGCCACCAGCAGCAGTGCTGGGAGTATGAAAGCCTTGGATCAAGCGTTACCATTTCCCTGTATGTGGTCAAACCTCCCCCAATCCTATCAGATCAGAAGAGAACCCCGTTTCCCTGTGGTTTGTAACCCTCTCCAAAAAAAAGTTAAAATTTTAAAGGGGAGCATTCCTTTTTTTTTTTTTTTTAACTATCCTGATACAAACAGAACTGGAACCCAGATGCAAAATAAAACCATTTTCATCCTCCAGTTTCTTTCTTCAGGCAATCAGCTTGTTTCTTTAATCCAAATTAGCTCTTCATATTCGAGTCTCATTTTATTTAATCTTCTTTTTCAATTAAATTCAATTGTCTGTGATCTTTTTAACTTCCCATGCTTCCCTGCATCGCTAATACTGACAAATTTTACATTTGTTCCTTTCACTTCCCTTTTTTTGGTGGTGATCTTCTGGCCTGGTGATATGTCTCTGAATAAGCCAGGCTTCTCCTCCCTGATGCTGGCCGAGCTTTTTCCACTGGGTGATGCTGGGGCAGGAGTGCTGCTTGAGTGGACGCAGGGCTGTGAGGCTGGAAAAAGGCTTTCCCCCTCTGTCTGCTAGCACTGAGACAAGGAAAAAGCCACGTCCCGCTGCTTTTTGAGGTGTCCCAAGCAAGTTCCCCATGCACACTTTTTGGGACACAAGTGCCGAGGGTGGATAAACAGCCCCGTGTTGTATGAAAGAGCGCAGATGTTGATTCCTGAGCCTCCCAGGAAAAATTAAAGTGTCTCGAGGAACACAGGGTTTGAAACATCAGGTTTCTGGTACCTGGTGGAGTTCAGGCAAGGTGAGACCCTGGTGGAGTTCAGGTGAGGTAAGGCTCCTGATTTACTCCAAAATTTACTGCATGGCCTGCAATGAAACTGGGCAAGCTCTGGACAACGCTGTCAAAGTGGGATAAAGGCAGGAAAGCTGCAGAGGATAAACCCCAACACATACAGAGGTGATGCAAAGAGCCAGGCACATCTCCACCTGGCCACTTCCCTGATGCAAGAGTGCAAAATGGATCTCAGAGCATCCTGCCCTGCACGGCTGCCACCAGGCCTGGCACTTTGCAGCAGGACTTGCTCAGCCATTGCCCTGCAGCTGTTTTGCTGCTCTCACCCTGCAGCAAAGTCCGGCTCTTTCACCAGCAGCATCGCCCTGAGGTTCTCGGTGCTTCTGCGAAAGGTTACAGGAAGCAGCAGACCAGTGATCAGGTGAGACATTCAATTTCCACCACATCTTAAATCCCTAATAAATGTTATTCTCTCTGATGAGGTGAAAAAGCCAGGAGCATTCCCCTTGTGCATTTCAAAGACTGAAAGACCAGAAGGCAAAGAAAACAAAGCCCCCGATTTTATTATTTTGAATAATCAGAGTGTAATTGGAGAGCAGACGCTGTCTGTAGCTTGCTGTCATTAGGGATCCTGGATTTCTAATAAGAAATCCACGAGGGAATTGGACGCTGTTCAGGGTTTTGTGGCTGGTTCACGGGGATGCACCTGCAGACAGATCCCTGCCCCGAGTCACTGCATTGTACCGGGAGCAGGAAATTTGGGCACCGTTTGTAAATCCCTGCACAAAGTGGGTCTGCAGCAGAAACAGCAACAGCCCCTCAATTACTGCAGCACTGGTGGGAGCTATGATAATTAGGAGTTTCTGGTATTCTGGAAATCAAAGTGATTTCTATTCTCTTCTTTAATTAATTCAGGCTTTTATCTATGAAAGCGGAGAAGAATTAAGGCTCTGCTCCAGGCAAAGTGCAACCATGCTGGTGCAGTGTCCAGCACGGTGAAGCTGCTGGACCGAGTATCCCTGGCCTCCAGTTCTTGGGGTTTTGGGAAAAAAAAAAAAAAAAAAAAAAAAAAAAAAAAAGGAGAAAAGCCAGAGGGAGCCATGCTCATTGCACATGTGTGTCACAGGGACACGCTGGATGGGGACACGCGTGAATCCCTGGCAGAAGGGGGAATTCCTCCACTGCCAGTGGGAATTCATGGGCCACAGGTAACACACACCCGGCATTATCACCTCCCCATGCTGAGAAGGGCGAGTCAAACTGCGTAAAAATCATGGGACAGGCTATAAAATCATGTTAGTTTGTTTGTTTTTTAATACAAATTAATATTGTGGGTCTCTGTTACTTAGCCCAGGTTACTTAGCTGGGTTCATGCAGGGACGTTTCTCTGGCTCACCCCGAGGGCTGGGAATTCACATAGAAAGACATCAGAGGCGCTTCCGAGGCACCCATGTGACTGTCAGAAAACGGCGGCGGCACTGTTATGGGATCTGTGGTGAAATCATGCGGTACGAAGAGAGCAGATGCCTTTGCGATGGGAAATCACACACGCACGGATGGCAGGAAGAGGTTTCCGATGCGACCTCAGCGTTGGAAATGGCAGCGCCTGGCATCAACCAGAGCCGGTCTGAACACAGCAACCCAAGACAGTACATTGCAATTAATCCATGCGGATAATTAACAGGATCCAACCCTGATAATGTTATCAAGGAGCAGCCTGGACAGGATGCATTTTGCCAGAGGCTCCTAAACCAGCCCCAGTGGTCTGCGTGGTGGTTATATGGAGAGGTGCCGGCCTCTAGTTTTATATTTTCTGTATTTTAATATTCAGCAAATCAGGGCCCATTCTGGACAAGTTGCTTCATTTTGGGAGGTTTTCATACCCTAACCGTTTGCTGCAGATTCCCATGAGCACTGTCCCCAGTCTGAACCTGCACACCCCCAAAGCACCTCTGCTTTGGATTAAGCTATTTTCCTGCCCCAGGTGGATGCTCCTGCAAGAAACCTCATTTCAACTTTCCACCGTGCTTCATTTTCGGTGTTTTTCTCCTTTTCCTACTAGATGGCGCCTGCACGACAGGCGGGGACGAGCCCCGGCAGCGCCAGCGCTGAGCATCTCCACCAGGTCTCCTCCGCAGAGGGCTGATAAAATACATTTTTCTCCGAAAAGCCAGGCGGCTGCAAAGGCGATAACCTGACAGGAGCTGATTAGTGGCAGGAGTCGGTTTTCTGGTAGCTCTGCATTATGTTTTCCAACCGACCTCCCCGAGGGATGCTGCCAGCCCCCCAGGAGGTCCAGGGGGGGCTGAGGATGGGGAGCGACCCAAAATGGGACCATGGGGTGCACGGAGGAAGGGCTGAGGTGGGGTGGGGGTGGATGGCAGATCTCCATAAGCCACAAAGCGGTGGCGTGGCTTTAGTGGTGAATTTGGGGTACCCGGATTTGGGTAAGCTCTACTGGGACATGGGCACTTACAGCCCAAGCATCCTCCTGGGTGTCACAGCAACACCTGAGTGTGGTGAGATGCATCCCAAATGCAGGCAGTTCACAGGTTGGAGTGATAGATGGAGGGCGAAATGAAGTCCCTAAAAAATGTGCTCACTAACACCATACATCCCTGAGGTCCAGCAAGCGGGGAGCAGTGATGGGGAGGAAGGAACCATCCTGCACCTGGATTTGGGGAGACTTCAGCTCAACGTCTGCAGCAAAAATAAATAAATAAATAAATGGAACTGCAAGGCCTGAGATACTCAGCAAACTCATGGCCTGTTCGGATCCAGGAGATGGGGAAAGTAATAAAGCAGGTGTTAATCCTGGCACATTTCTTTCTGAAAGAAAGGTGGTGACATTTTGGTGAAAATGATGGAGGGGAGAATCAGAAAGGTTACTATATTATGAAAAGGGGGTGACAATGCAAAAGTAATAAGGTATCAGCACTTTGGGATGAGGGCAGTGGTCGCTGCTGAGCCCCACACGACCGACAGAGACCTTAAACCCAAATGCGGAACCATGCGGAATGAAATCTCCATGACCAAGGGAGAAACAGGCAATGGCTGAGGGGTCTGTAATAAACTAAAAGGGCAGAAAAAGGGGGGAAAAATGCCTGATGCAGGAGGGCAGGCAGCAAGGTCCAGAAAGCTTGGCGGTGCTCAATGATTTCTTTCTTTCTGCCTCCACGCCAGGCCGTGGCGCAGCAATAAAAGTGCACGGGACACCCCGTCAGGCCACGCCAGCCTCCTTGCTGCTGGCGGCACAATGGGTTGTTTCAGGAAGCCACGGGCAGGAATCACACCGGCCTCTGGGAACGGCTCAGGAAGCCTCAAGAGGAGCGGCTGCACGAAGCCGTGCCCAAAGATGCTTTTGGGAAAACTTCGCAAAGCCTCTGAGGGAAGGGGCAGGTGAGGCAGCGGAGCAGAGAGAGAGAGAGAGCGGTTTTGGGGGGGCTGTTAGTGAATCCCTGGCGCTGCGGTTTTATTTGTAGGGCCACCGCTGGGAAGGGAGCAGGGCCGTGCCGAGCCTTGGGGCGGCTGCACAAGGACGGGGCTCCCTCTCCCCATTATCTGCCCCCCGGCACAGGCTGTAGGGACAAGTGCACGGCCCCCGATAGCGCCGAGCCGCACCCTCCGGGCCGAACGAAGGCGCCTCCAAAACGCGCCCCTATATAGCGGGGAGCCGAGAGCCGTGCCCGGCCTCCTGCCCCCATATAGGGGCGGCCGGGGGGGAGCCGTGCCGTGCCGAGCCGTGCCCAGCAGAGCCGTGCCGAGCCGGGCACATGGGCAGGGAGGGCGGAGCTGGCGACCTGACATCAGAGCGCCTCCCTCGCAGCCCCCGGACGGCTCCGTTCGCCCTCCTGCTGCCCGGCCCGGCGCAGAGGTGAGTACGGGGAGCAGCAGCAGCAGCAGGAGGAGGAGGAGGAGGAGAAGGAGGAGGAGGAGGCGGCGGGGATCGAACCCGCGGCCCTGGGGCCGGGCGCGGCTCTGCCCGCAGGGGGTCAGCGGCACCCCCGGCGCTGCGAGCCCCCAGCCCCAAGCTGGGACCCCCCCCGATCCCGGGGGTCCTCAACCCGAGGCTGGGACCCTCCGATGCCGGGGCTGGGATTCACCCCCAGGGCGCTGCGGAGGGGCTGAGGTTTTGGTTTTGGTTTTTGGTTTTGCAGGAGCGGGGCGCGCTGCCCCGTGGCTGTGCAGGGCCGTGATTACGGAGCGCTCTGCCCGGGTTGCAATGGGAAACGCTGCGAGCTGGGAGCCTGCGGGGACAGCTCCGAGCACGGAGGTTTGGGGTGTGCTCGGTGCCCACCCGAGAGCCGGGGTTATCTGGGTGTGGGGCAGGGAGCTGCAGGTGGATGCCCAGCAGTGGGATGCGGCGCTTCTCCCTCAGAGCAGGGCGCGCTCGGCTTTCACTTTCTCATCAGCAGCTTTTTGGGAGGGTAAGGACTTCTTCCAGCTCGGGAGAAATCAGGAATTGAGATATTAAAAAATAAATAAATCTCAGTCCCCTGTGGGTGAGTGGGGAGCGGCTGCCAAGCTTCCTTACTTGTGTAGGGTTCCTAAAAGGCAGCAGGGTTGGATGCTCCATGAGGTGGCTTTGGCATTTGTCCCGTGTCAGAGTGCTGAAGGGCGAAAGCTGTGAATGAGCTGGGGAGGCAGCATTCAAATAGGACTGTCCCATAGGCAAGGTGACCCGGCATGGGACTGTCCCTGCCCGGTGACCCTTGCTGGGACAGCACGAGGTTGTGACATCCCCGTTTTGGGGAGAGCCCGGAGGCCTGCACCCTGCAGAGCCGGGCAGAGGATGGACAGTGCACCAAGAACCCCAGGTCACTGCCGTCCATGTGCTCTAGATAAAACTGGTGCATTGGAAAATGTCTCCCATGGAGAGAAATCAAAACTGAGATGGCGAGAGAGGAAGGCCATCATCTACAGTATCATTATCCTGCGGGCTGAGGAGATGGAGGGCTAACAAGATTTAAATACTACATCAGGCTTAAGATTTCTCCTCTCTTAAAATCTCATTTGCTATAAAACAAATGTACGGTAATACAGGATCCGATACTCACTGCACGTATTTGATTTCCTCCATAATTGTAGAGAAGAAAATGTTGGTGACTCAACAAGTCTTTGTTTAAAAAGAAAACACAGCGTGCCTCGGGAAAACATGCTTCTTGAAAGCATAATTTCTGTTTGTTTTGGTTTTTATTTTTGCTTTTTGTTTGTTTTGCTTTTTATTGTCAGGAACTATGCTTTGACTGCGACCTTGTAGCATTACACCCATAAATAGAAGCAGCTTTAGATTCATGGGAAACACATTTTTTCCGATGGTGGAAGAAGTAGGCCATCCAAGCCGGCTCTCTGGAGAGGTGTGAAAGGCACGGGCAGCCGTGGCAATGGGATGTCACGTAACAAGAATTAAAACCCACCAATTAGTTATCTAGGCATTTACCATCACCGATTAGAATTACCTCTCCTGCCAACCTCACAATGGAGGCAAGTGCTAATTATTTCTAAGCTTTAAGTTACTGCTTCTTCACAGGGTCACTTCCCTTGCAGTGGATTAAGCTGCTTCCCATCTGCATCTAAGTGAAATGTAGCTTAAATGAAAGGATAAAATGTTTGGAAAACATGTCAGTGATGTGGGCGCTTACATCCCATTTCAAAAGCCCTTAGGTACTTTGGTGCCCAATCAATTGAACATTTTTGAAAATTTTGGCTAGGGTTTAAGGAGTTCATACATAAACTCCTTCCATCTTTTTCCAAGTTCTCAGATTTTCACTGCATCTATCTAAAGACTCAATTGGGATAACACTTGCATATGCATTTCAGTTTAGTTCATATAAATACACCACTGTAGTCTCTGAAAAATGTCCTAAGAGTTCCCCACAGACCTCAGGCTAAAGGAGTGGGGGTCTGTAGATAACGTGTCCACCACAGAAGTATGCTGATCCCACTGATCATCACTATCAGATACCAACCTGCACCTCTTCAGTTACTTAAAGTAAATGAACTTCTTACTGCCAGGAAGTTCTTGGAAAGGTGGGTGCAGGAGACAGGGCTCCAGTAGATCTCCCATTAAAAAAAATGCATTAAAACCCATGAAAGAGGGATCCCAGCTGGACAAAACCTAAAAGCCAGACAGCACCAACTCCCTTGGCCAGCCACAGGCCCTCGGCTGTTGTGAGCACAGCGTGCAGCACAGCACAGGATGGCTGATGGCTCAGTGGTGAAATATTTGCTGGGTGCACTCGTCTGGCACATGCTGCGTCGCTGGGGTCCTGTGTGCACGGTGTGCACCCCTGCACCATGCTTCCCTCATCCTGGAGAACCTACCAGGGAATTATTTTGTGCTGTTTTACCCAGAGGAGTTTCCTCCCCAGACACCTCTCCTGCCCATCGCAGCTGCTCAGCAGAGCAGGTATGTCCATCACATACCTTGAACCTATCCCAAAGGACATACATTGTGTTTGGGAAAGGAAGGGCTGCGTTCATAAGGCAGTATGATCACTGTAGTCATCGTCCTTCTGTGGTTAGTTCCCAGTGAAGCCACCTATCCTCTTCTCTTGCTTTTCCTCCAGTTCCTCGGTCAGTAACAATTCCTCCTTTCCTGGTGGTCTCAGCACCCACCTGAAAGAGTGAAGAAAAATAGAGAGAAGCATATCATAGCTGGCCAGAACTACACATACACCACTGCTTCACAGCAAGATGTTAGCAGCTCAGTGTCCCTGAAGAAAAGGGACCAGGGGAATTCACCTCCCCAAGCTGACCAGCAAGACCCTGTGAGCTTCAGAGCTCACCGCGTGCTGTGCCTGGGCTTTGGGAGGTGACAGCAGGAGTCTGCAGGAGCCAGGCTGACCCCATGCTATGGGCTTCACCTCCCCGCCACCCTTTCCACCGCAGGGCCCTGTGCATCCTCTGAGTCACTGCAAGAGGCAGAGCCAGAGATGCGAGGGCGTGCTGATCTTGGAGACCCTTCTAACAGGCGGCAATGGCCAAACCAAATGTTTGCATGCACAGGCAGCGCAATTCCTCTGCGTCTTTCCTGGAAAGAAGTACGAGTTTTCAAACAGCCAGGGTCTGCCAGCTCCCTGGGGTGGCCGCTGGGCTCAGAGCTCGCGGCCACCAGCAGCAGGGCAGGAGCGGAGACTTTCCCCTGCTCTTTTCAGGCAGCAGCACCTCCTCCAGTCAGGCCTAGCTGCAGGCTGCCGTTAGATCTACCCCAAAAGATTTTGCCATCCATGTTTTTGGCTACTTACCTGCTCTCCCTGCATTTCAGAAAGGGGAAAGCTCAGGAGCGGGTGCGTCACTGAGAGATAGTCGTTAACTTGGAAAGAGCAGCAAGGCAATTAAGACCCCAAAAGAAAGCAGTAGAAGCCCCCCAGGACTTCTCTACAGCACTTAACGTTGCTGTAAACTGTCCCTCGATGATAAGCTGGGGAAATAACCTTCTTATTCAGGAACACATCAAGATAAAGTTGTGTGTGCTATGCCTGTAGCACGGGAGACGTGAGCTGCTCTTTGGAGGCAAATTTGGGAGAGGAGAGTTTGGGGATATCTGTGACACAGCTTGGTGGTATCTGCTTAAAAGTGTGTAGTTTGGATAAAAACAGTCGGACAAAAGTTTGTTTTCCAGTTTAGTCGAGTCACAGCCAATATTGCAGATGGGTGATTTTTGTGCCCAGCGTCAGCACTGCCCATTTAACCTCACCAGGTGCCAACAGGCTGTTGCATTTCTATAGGAAAAACATGGCCAAAATGTCTGAGCTTGCGTGGGAAAAAAACGACTTAAGTTGTTCCAGCGGAAAATTCTGTGAACCCTCTCTCCTCCACTTTCCCGTTTTGAAACATGTTTTTGAGTTCTGCACACGGCAAAGAACATCCTGTGGTCAGGGACGTACCTTTGGCTTCAAAAACCAACATCCTTGATATTCATCAATGTTTAAACCAGAGGGTGCATGAAGCAGGGGGGGCCAGTGCCCGCTTTGTGGGTGACCCAGAGGAAACGTTCGAGAGGAGAGGCTCAGAATTAAGGCTGTGACAAACTGGAGGGAGGGTCTAAAAAAGCAGGGCACAAGCTGTGTCCCGTGGGGTTGGACTGACCGACCGTGCGGACAGCGAGTGAGGGACCGGCCAGGCAGGGGATGGGGACGAGGACAGGGTTAGGGGCATCACAGAGCACAAGTCAGCGGTGCCGTGTGGTTGTGCAAAAGCAAACAGCGTGCTGGGAGGTAGGAGCAGACGTGGCATGTGGGGGAAGCGGCGTCTGCTCCCTCCACTGCCTTTCGGGGGCTCAAATGGAAAATTCAGCTCCTCCAGGAAAACATGAAACTCATCCTCAAAGCGCAAAATGTGTCCACAGAGAAGGAGGGGGTGAATCACATGCTGTGACCTTTGGGGGTTAGAAAGGA